CATGTACCACCTGCACCCCACACAGCACCTGCAACCATGTAGCCGGCCACTGCATCCCGGTACCACTCCATGCTCTATCTCTCCACGCACCCCACCCCTCGCCCACTCCCATCACCTGCCTCTCGCACCCCCACAACCTTGCTCCCCAGGCCGTTGGACAACACCCCCTTTCTTGCCAACCAGGGACCGACCGAGCTGAGCCCCGGCAGCCCTTGGGGGCCGGGGCGCTCTGGGGCCGGTTCCCCACCAGCCGGCATGCACAGTGGAGTGCCCTGGCACTGCCCTTCCCTTACCTGCAGCGTGCCCGTCGACCTGCGCTGTCTTCCTGCAGGGCGCTGCGCTGGTCCGCCGGTGCCCCGAACGTTCCCGGGGCGTCACAGGTGTGCGCGCGTGCGACACCTCACGTGTGTGGCGTGTGCTGCCATCATTTCGCTGGCTGTGACAGTCAGCGGGTGGCTCGGGACCCATCGGAGAGTTACCGCCATCCTCTGGGGACCTGGCTGCTCCGAGTGACCGCCGCCCAGGTGACACGGTGGTCCTTATGCAGGGGACATACGCAGAAGGTGCAGTCACGAGCGCCGAGTTCGGCCCTCGCCCTCCTCTGACTGACAGCCCACCTTCCTATTCTCCCGATCCAACAGCACGCCGCACGGACCTGAGCGCCACCCAGGCAGCGAGTACTGGGCACGCCCCACCGTCGGACAAGTGAGGCCACGGCATCAGGCCCACCCCAGGCGAGGCCCGCCATCGAGTTCCCCCGCTGCCGGGCTCTCTGGGTTTGCAGGCCTCTTCCCTGCTGGCGGTAGTGGTTCGGCCGACGCCTTCCTGCCCACAAAACGTATGGGACATTTGAGAATCAATGGTGCGCAGCTGAGGAGGGAAAAGTCCGTAAAAGCGCCAAGCCGTGGGATTTCTCCGAAGGAGACGGAGCAGCCTGGCGGCCGTCCCCACCATCGTTCGCGTTTTGGCCGCCAAAGGTTTGGGGTCACTCTTCAACGCCGTCTCCCGCTCAGGGCTCCGTAGAACCACCGCCCTCTGCACGGCGGCAGTGTTGGGAAGACTCCCTCCTATTTCCATATCTGTGCTCGTTTTTTTGTTGTTTGTTTGTTTGTTTGTTTTGAGACAGAGTCTCACCTCTGTTGCACAGGCTAGAGTGAGTGCGTGGCGTCAGCCTAGCTCACAGCAACCTCCGACTCCTGGGCTCAAGCGATCCTCTTACCTCAGCCTCCCGAGTAGCTGGGACTACAGGCATGCGCCACCATGCCCAGCTATAATATATTTTCTTATATATTAGTTGGCCAGTTAATTTCTTTCTTCTATTATAGTAGAGACGGGTCTCGCTCTTGCTCAGGCTGGTTTTGAACTCTGACTCGAGCAATCCGCCTGCCTCGGCCTCCCAGAGTGCTGGGATTAGAGGCATGAGCCACCGCGCCCGGCCCTCGTTCCTCCTGGCGCTCTGACCCAGGCCCTCCCGGCTTTGCCCCGCAGGTGACCTACGGCTCCTTCGACTACACCTCGCTGCTGTACCCTCCGACTTCCCTTCTTTTGGCTCCTTCTCCACCTCCCGGCACAGAGCCGCTGGTGGCCGGAAGGTGCTGGTCCAGCCCTGCTGGGTTTGTGTCTTCCCAGCTCCTCCCGGTGGCTCCTGGTGGGGCTTGGTTTCCCAGGCTCTGCAGGTGTGTCGTGGTGACTGGCAGCGGTTGCTATGGGACCCCAGCAGGCCTCTGGAGACCTGGCGTGGCTGTGCCCCCACACTCACCTCTCTCCTTCCCCCCAGGGCGGGTCTCCTTCTTCACCTCGGGGTCCGAGAACCTGCACCGGGTGGAGAAGGTCCGCTGGGGCACCCGCTACGCCATCACCATCGCCTTCAGCTGCAACCCCGACCACGGCATCGCGGACCCGGCGTTCCCATAGCGCCGGGCCAGCCCGAGGACCCCGTGCCCGCACCCTCGCGTTCAGGGAGCTGCTCCTGGCCACGCCACACACGTGCCCCGTCCCCTCCTGTGTCTCCTATTCCCACTGCTCAGAGTGCCTTACGGTAATCCGGAATTCTGATTTGCTGATGATCTAATCTCAGCTGTGAGTAAATTAAGGGACCAGCCGTTCACGCCACCTGCACCGTGTTTGCTCTGCCCTCTGTCGGCGAGGGGGGCCCCCCCCCCAGCGCCCCGCCCTGCCCCTCCTTTGTCAAGAAAGGACAGACCTGGGCAGAGATTCCCATCTGCGGACAGAGGACTGGTTTGCCTGGGCCTCGTCCAAATCTGGAAACCACCCCGGCCCCCGCGAAGACCGACCGAAGCCTCGGCAGACTCTCAACAGGCCGCTGCAGGCACAGGGCCAGCGCTCCCACCCCCCCACCCCCACCATGGGGCGCGGAGTCAGCAAATCGCGATGGCTGTGGAGACAGTTCCAGTGAGCGGCAGCTCCGGGGGCAGCAACAGGCCCCTCTGGGGTGGGGCTGGGGGGCCCTGCTGGGTTCCAGGTGGACGTGAATGTCTGGCATCCCCACGGCTCTGCATCTGCGTCCCGGGCAGCCCGAGAACTTCCTGGGCAGGTGGGCACACCAAGCCCTGCTCTGCCCCGCCGCCGGCCAGAGTCCCCGGTGATGGGAGTCCAAGCGTGTCCCCACCAAGGAGGTCCTCAATGGACAGTGACATTGAGGACCTCCCCAGCCCCCATGGGCCTCCTGGCCAGCTGCAGCTCTGTCTATGCTCGGGAGGCCTGGGCTGGAGGGGACATGACACCCCCATCACTGGCTTCTGCCAGGGTCTGGGGTGGTGTCACGTCTGAGGAGCAAACACAGATAGGAAAACAGGCGTGCGGTTGGTTGTAGGTTAAAATGCTTCCGGAAGAAGTAAATATTCATTTGATTGTCATCCTTTGCTACTGGTACTGTTCATGGCAGTCACAGAGGCACCTGGGCAAAGACATAAACACACCTTGGCAAAAGCAAGAGTTTCCTTCTCCTAAGGTGGGGTGACAGGTAGCCACAGAAGTGGACCCTCGACTCCAGGTCCCTCCCCGAGTGACCCCGGGGCCCTGCCCGCCGGTTTGGGAAGGACGGCTGTTGTTTCCGGAGCTTCGAGGTCATCAGTCCTGCCGGAAAGGTTCAAAGCTCAGTGACAGTTTGTCCTGGGGAGAAGCTGGAGTCAGGAGCATCCTCTGATGGATGATTATTTTTGAAATTTATTTTTAAAATAAAGGTGATTTGTTTAAATCAAAGCTGATTATCATGTTTAAAATAAAAAACCATGACAAGTGTGAGTCTCACGCCGAGTTCACCTGCTCCCGTCCCCAAGCCTGGGCACGGCCGGGCTGTGCCCCCGAGGGGACAGGTCCCCGGGTCCTGCCGGCCACCAGAGCCAGGGCTGTGAGTCCTGGGCCAATGGGACACAGCGTGCTGGAGCCACCGGTCTTTAGTTGTGTCAAAAGGTCAGTGTTGGCCGGGCGCGGTGGCTCACACCTACAATCCTAGCACTCTGGGAGGCCGAGGCAAGAGGCTTGCTCAAGGTCAGGAGTTCAAAACCAGCCTGATCGAAAGTGAGACCCTGTCTCTACTAAAAATAGAAAGAAATTAATTGGCCAAATAAAAATACATAGAAAAAAAAATTAGCCATGGTGGCGCATGCCTGTAGTCCTAGCTACTCGGGAGGCTGAGGCAGGAGGATTGCTTGAGCCCAGGAGTTGGAGGTTGCTGTGAGCGAGGCTGACGCCACGGCACTCACTCTAGCCCGGGCAACAGAGTGAGACTCTGTCTCAAAAACAAGGTCGGTGTCTCCCCAGCTCCTGGGAGGACAGGCGAGGAAGCCACACATGCAGAAGCAACGGCTTCCCGAAGGCTACTGTGTTGGTGGCTGGGGGTGAGGGGAGAGGCGTCCCCTTCCGCTGTGACTCATGATTTCAAATGAAAGGAGGCCTGGTCCTCCCGCCCTTGGCCCTGCCAGGGAAGAGCCATAGCGGCGCCCAGTGTGGAGCTGGCCTCTGCCATGCAGCCCCACCCCCCCAGGCCACGGCCCAGAGAGCCGGCCTCTGCTGCCTCTGCCTGGCGGGCGGGGACGTCTGGCCAGCACGGTGGAGGCAGCGGTGGTTGGGCAGGGACAGGCCCGGGGAGTTTCCCAGCCCAGCGACAGAGACGCTGGATTTCTACCTGCTCCACGGGGCCGAAGCCGGGGTCTGGGGCTCGCTGGAGAGGTCACGGCAGGGCGCCCTAGGAAGGAAGGGAGGGCAGACCGAGAGGGCAGTGGTGTCTTGGGCACAGCGGGGTGACACTTTCAGGCGATTCCAGCCGATTTTATGCCAACCCGCCAGCCTTCCCCTCCCCCGGGCAGGACCAGAGCACAGCACGGTCACCTGACCTCTCCCCTCTAGGTGCCTTCAACAGCCCTCCGACCCCCGCAGTCCCCACCAACACCGGGGTCCCCCAGGCTCCCATTCTCCTCATTCCGGAGCTGCTCCATGCCAACGTTCTCCCCCGGGAACACGTCACACGAGAAGCCAAGAGGAAGAGCTTGCAAGAGAACGGCTCACACTGGTCATACTGCGTCTTCCCCTCCATGCCTGCAGCCCTGGCCGGGGACAGACGGACCCCTGAGCCCCTCACCCGGGGCCGCCCTGGCTTTCCCTCCTGCTCAACCCCTCTGGAGGCAGCTCCTCGTTCCTGAGAAAGGGGGTCCCCATGCAATCAGGGAGTCATGGCCACCCAGCCCCTGTCCCCATGGTCCCTGGTGGGGCTGAGTCTTGCTGCAGGTCTGAGCTGGCCCTGCCTGGGCTCTCCCTGGGGGACTCGCCTGCCCCCCCACCAGGCCCCACCCGCCCATCCGCAAAGAACAGACAGAGCTGGCAGGTGGGGGTGGCAGGTCCGGGCTTGGGAAGAGTGAGGAGGAGGACACACTGGGGGGGGGCGGTTCCTGGACCCCCAACGCCCGTCACAGCGTTCTCCCCAGGCCCCGCCCCCAGCGACGCCCACTTCACCCAGGGGCTGGCCAGGGCTGCCAGCTAGGGGCGGGGCGGTGGGGGCAGCGCAGGGGCCGCGGCCTCCACCCCCGTGGGACGGAGGAGCCCACGCTGGGGACGTTTGCAGCTGCCCCTCCCGGGCCCATGGGACATTCCCTGTGGTGCGTGTGTCCCCTCCCCGCCCTGTGCCTGCAGCAGGGGCCACACTGTGTTCAGGGCTTCAGTCACCAGACCCCCACAGAGGGGCCTACAGCACCCTGACCTCACCCAAGCCCAGGCTGCCCGCCCCTGGGCCCCACTCCGTGGGCCCTTCCCCCCCACAGCGGGCTCTGGGCTCCCGCCGCGCTGGCCTGGCGGGCGGTGGCCACACACTGTCCCCTCGGCTCTGCTTGGCAGGGGGGAGGGCAGAACGGGGTGGGGGTGGGGCAGAAACTGAGGTGCCCCTCCCCTGTCGGCCCAGCCCCAGCCTGGCCCCAGCCCCGGGGAGGAATCTTGGCTGGGGGGCTGGTGCTGACAGCGATGCCCTGGGCGGCCGTGGTACCCTATCTCCCACTGACACCTGGTTCTGGGACGAGACGTGGCGCCGTGTGTTCAGTCCCGATGCAGGTGCCTGGCCGGGCAGGGGGGCTCGTGCTCCCGGCCCACCTGGACAGACGGCAGAGCAGCCCGGCAACCTGCAAGGACCCTCGTGGGTCCAGAGCTTTGCTGGCTCCACCCCCACGATTCCACCTGCAGGCCCGCGTGGGCTGGGCAGGCCTTGAGCCCCGGCTCTCAGCCACGGCACAGGCAGGAGCGAGCAGGGCCCTGTGGAGGGGCCGCAGGGAGGAGGTGCAGAGGCGTCACCCTGTGAGGTGACCCCTGAGCTGGCCCGAGCTGGCAGTGGGATCCGCAGGGAGACCCCACGCAGAAGCAGGGCAGCGCAGAGTCTAAGGCGCGGGACCGGGGTTCCCAGGCTGCTGACCGCTGAGGCTGCATCTCACTCTGACCTCACCTGCCTCCCCGGGCCTTCCCAGCCTCAGCCTCCCAGGCTCCAGGTGGGGACACGTGACAGGACAGAGCTGTCCAGCCTGGGGCCAGCACCAGCCCGTGGCCGGCCCGGAGCGGCTGAACGACCGGGCTCCTCTGGAGCCTGCTTGGGGCCTGGACAACGCCCAAGCCTGGAGCTGCCGCTGGCCACTGGCCGCCCCGCTGCCTGCTCGGCCCGTCATCCGTCTGGAATTTAGATGGAAAAACCTGCACTCCTCGCATGCACATAGTGCGGGAAGGTGCCCAGGCAGCTTGGGACTCGCTGGGGACGCTTCCGGGGAAAAGGAGCCTGAGCGCCCGTCCCCAGCACTGTCCCAGGTTGGCCCCTCCAGGCGGCCGGGCAGGGACCTGCCAGGCTGAGCAGGACAGCCAAGGTCTGAGCAGGCCAGCTCCACCCTCCCCAGCCGCGCCCACCCCAAGACACTGTCACTGTTGCCCCAGCCCACAGCGCCCCTGGAGCTCCACATCCAGACAGCAGGTAAACAGTGGTGTCTAGGCCGGGCGTGGTGGCTCACGCCTGTAATTCTAGCACTCTGGGAGGCTGAGGTGGGCGGATTGCTTGAGGTCAGGAGTTTGAAACCAGCCTGAGCAAGAGCAAGACCCTGTCTCTACTAAAAATAGAAACAAATCAATTGGCCAACTAAAATGTATATATAGAAAAAATCAGCCGGGCATGGTGGCGCATGCCTGTAGTCCCAGCTACTAGGGAGGCTGAGGCAGAAGGATTGCTTAAGCCCAGGAGATTGAGGTTGCTGTGAGCTAGGCTGACGCCACAGCACTCACTCTAGCCTGGGCAACAAAGGGAGACTCTGTCTCAAACAAACAAACAAACAAACAAACAAACAAACAAACAGTGGTGTCTACTGGTTGTGGCTCACTTTCCAAAGAACGTTGCTCCTGCCAAGCTTGGGCGTACGGGGACCTTCAGAACTTTCTTTGTTGATAAATAACCTCCAAGACGCACAGCTCGGCGCCGTGAGACCCACACGTCCGTGTGTCCATGCGCCGGCCCATCCAGGAGCAGCGGGTAGGCCCTTCCCGTGCTCCCCGCGTGGACCCACGAGAACCGTGTTCTCCTTCACGCTCGCTGCTGGGACCGTGGGGGGGTCCAGGTGGCCACAGCCTGGGCTCTGCAGCTCCCTGGACTGGGCCGGGCCACTCTGCTCCGGCGGCCCTGAGGCCAGCCCGGCGACGTGGCGTCCACGCCCACTGCCCTGCACCCCAGCCACACCAGGGCCTCCCCGAGACAGCTCGCCACTGCGCGGGAATGTGGGTGCTGGGGAGCCGATCGTCCCCCCGCCGGCCGTCCACCAGGGGCACACTTTGCTCATTCACTCGCTCATCACGCCGCCGCCCCATCCTTGGGGACCCCAAGCCCGCCCGGGACAACGGCGAGTGAGGATTACCCCACGATGTGAGGGCCTCGCCCCGTCAGTACAAGGTCTAAGAGCAAAGACCCGGAGAGGAAATTCCTTAAAGGAAACGTGGTGCCGTGTGCCCTGTGCACGTCTGTCGGCTCCGCTCCTCTGCAGAGCCCTGACGACGTCCTGAAGTTGAGCCTCGATGGCGGCTGCACCGCTCTGTAGATTGGCTGAAATTCCTCGACCGTGCACTCTCAGGGGGGACTTACCGACGGCACCGCAGTGACGCCGTCACTGAACAGCAGCCACCGTGCTCAAGGGCGCGGGTCCCGGACTCTGCGCAGGCTCCCAAGCCGGCCCCAGCGCGGGCCCTGCCGTCCCCTCAACCCGGTCCCAGCCGTCTCACCTCCCCACACCCCGGCCAGGCCAGGCCAGACGCAGCACAGGCAGCCTCGGAGTTCCAGGGGGCAGGGAGGGTCGGGGGGCATGGAGGGGCCGCGAGGACCCAGCCGGCCTCTGAGCAGGGCCATAGGCCGGGGCGTCAGATGTGGCCAGAACAGGCCGTGAGCACCTTCCCTCCCGGCTGTGGCGGCAGCTGCCTCCGCCCCAGTGGCTGGCGGCTCGAGGAGGAGGGTGAGCCACAGTGACCGTGCGGGAGTCTCCGTGTGGTTGTGTGTGTGTGTCCGCGAGTGCATGCTCGAGTGCACGGGTGCAGCCGCGTGTGACTGTGGGCAGTGGGAGGGAACACGTGTGTGCACCTGAGTGTGTGTGAGCCTGCAGTGGCATCTGTGCCCGGGGTGGGGGGAGGGGGGTTCAGAGCTGTTGGGAACAGCCTCCCGTCACTGTCACCGTCACCGTGGTCACTGCTCACAGCGGTGCAGAGGACAGTGTGCCGCAGGGACACTCACCCGCAGGGCAGGCGCGAACACGGGGCACAGTGGCTCCCGCGCAGGGTGCGCAGGATGGGCTGGGGGGCTGGGGAGGCGGCACAGCGGCCCCACCTGCACGCATGTGCCGGCCGGGCACGAACCAGAGGCTGCCCCTGCAGGCTGGGTGCGCCGAGCTGCGAGGGGACCTGCCCAGCTGTGGCCCTGTGCGTGCACTCCCGTGTCGTCAAGATACCCAACCAGCAAGCGTTTGGAAAGGAGCGTGGTGTCTCCGGTGGGAGGGTCTGGGCAGGGCCTCCCTCCCGGGACCAGGTGCTCCCCCAGGTGGGGCAGGAAGTTCATTTTGCAGCCCTCCGCGGTGCTTCTGTCCAGCAAGCGCCTCTCAGAGCCTGAGCGCTCCTCGCTGGGCCCTGCCCAGGCCTCCTCTTGGGGCTGCTCTTCCCGCCACAAGCAAGCAAGCACCCCTCCAGTTTCCGGGGGACGCCGCTCAGATTTCATTTCAGTTCCTCTCCGGGGTCACTCGTCCCTCGTTCTCGCCTGTATTCGGAGGTTTCCCTCGGCCCGCACATGCGTGTAGGCACGTGCACATGTGCACACGTGTGTAGACACATGCACATGCATGCACACTCTGTTACTCAGCCGCGCTCTGAAGCCGTCTTTCATTAGAGCTCTACCCCGTCACCCCTGCGATGACAGGTGGGATTTTGCTGTCCCCTGGACAGAGGAGGACACAACGTTCTTGGTGACCTCCAGTGACCTCGGCTGCTGGGACTGAGCTGAGCTCCGCATCCCACGGGCTCAGCTACGGGAGCCGCCCCACCCTGGACTCCAGGAGTGCCTTTAAAAGGACAAGGGGACCTGCTCCCACCATGCGGCTCAGGAGGTGCCCATCCCGAGCTGGGTCGAGGTTGCTCGGGGTGGAGTGGTCCTCCCTCTGGGGCAGGGTGGTCCTCCCTCTGAGGTGGGGTGATCCTCCCTCTGGGGTGGGGTGATCCTCCCTCTGGGGCGGTGTAGTCCTCCCTTTGGGGTGGGGTGGGCCTCCCTCTGGGGTGGGGTGATCCTCCCTCTGGGGCGGTGTAGTCCTCCCTTTGGGGTGGGGTGATCCTCCCTCTGGGGCTAGACCGGGGGTTCCCTGTGGGCCCCAACCTTTTGCTCCTGTTATGACTCCCCTGGGGCCCACACTGCCCAGAGACGCCTTCCTCTGGACCACCCTGGCCCGGGCAGTGGGGGCCTCCCAGGGATCCGGGGGCCGGGGCCAGTGAGCGGCTGCTGTGACCCGGCCAGGCCGGGCACCACACTCAGCCCCACGCACCACATGCAGGTGCTTAGCGCAAAAGCCACGTTGGCACCGCAGGCAGCAGGCGGTGTGTGCAGGGACTGAGGGGCAGGGTCTCCCCGGGGCTGCCACCTGCGACCTGAGTGTCAGGCAAGGGCGGGACCAGTGGAACCAACCCGAGTGACAGGCAAGGGCGGGACCAGTGGAACCAACCTAAGTGTCAGGTAAGGACGGGACTGGCTGGAACCGTGAAGCAAGGGGCCAGCTCTGGCTGTCAGATTTTTAATCTCAATTTTCCTTGGCTTTTCTACAAAGATGACAGCTTTAGGAATCAGGCTCTGGTTGAGGGAGAAAAAGGCTTTCTAATCCCTGAAGATCCCCCCAGGCATCAGAGAGGCTGTGAAGCCCTTGGTGGGGGTGTCGGGGTGTGGGTGGCACCCCAGACCCTCTGGAGGAGGCTGCTCAGGCCCAGGCTGGGGCCAGGCTCACCCCACACCCCACTGAGCTGCCCACTCCCCAGGTCAATTCAGCAGCAAATTGCAATTTCTTTCGTTCTTTAAGATAAAACCCTCAGGACAAAATTCGCCATTGCAGGGCTCCGTGGCACCCACTCCCTCAGGATGTCACCAGGCACCGCTGTCCAGGTCCACAGCAGTGGCATCGCCCTGGAGAGACGCACATGCACCGTCCCCTCTTCCAAAGGCCCCAGGACAGCTGCCCACACCCTGCTCAGAAATAGCCCTGCCCACACTGCAGGTGCCGGCTCTAGCTCTGGGGGTCCCGGCCTCTGACAAGAACCCACTGGAGGGGGCGGGGAGGCAGCCCCCACCCCAGAGCTCACAGGGGGCCCCCAAGGGCCGGCCGGAGGTGGTACTGCCAGGCATGGGTAGGAGGGCAGCCCGGCGGCTACTCGTTGCCCGAAGCCTAGCCATGTGAGCTAGGGGGGTGAGCTGGGGGCAGGGGCAGCAGTCTGTCCAGGCGGCAGCCAGGGTGAGTGGGGCACAGACCACCCAAAGGTGCTGCGAGCTGAGACCTGGAAGACCTGAGCCCCACGTGGGTTGTGGCCGGCAGGGCCCTGGCAGACGGGGCCAGCGGCCTGGATCTCTCACTTTCTGTACCTGAAGCTTCAGCACCTTGCTGGGCTGTCCCGCCCACCTGCCCACTCCTCAGCCCAGCCTGCGGCCTCAGGGCACCCGCCCTCCTGGCTGCCATGCCGGCAAACCAGGAGGGAAGTTCCCGCGTGCGCAAACGGGGACGGCAGGACCAGCCGGCGAAGGCCCCAAAGGCAGACGTGTGTCCTCCCAGCCCACCCACAGAGCCCCCACGGGGCTGTCCTGGGGCCTGGCCCGGCTCCGGCCCTCCACCACCCACCCACCCACGAGCCATCCCAGGAGCTGAGGCAGGACTGACGGCTGCTCAGGCTTTATTGTTGAAACGCTGAAGATGCGAGCATCAGGGCCACATGGGGCGCCACGGGGCCACCAGAAGGTGGACTCACCACGGCCGGGCCGGGCCTGAGACCCTGGAGACCCGCAGAGACGGGCGGGCGTCTCGGGGAAGGCAGACAGGGAGCTTCGGAAGAGCAGCGAGCAAGGCAGGCCCGAGGTCGGGAGTAGGGGGCTCTGCGCAGGGGCCCCTCCCCGCCTGGCCTGCAGCCGCCGCCCCTGCTCACACGGAGACCCCGGGACCCTCGGGCGCAGGCTCCCCGGGGGCCGCCGGGGCCAGCACGAGGGTCTCAGTGGCCTGCTGGCTGCAGGAGGACAGCGAGCGCCCCGAGCCACGCGGGAGGCGGGCTGGGCCCTGCCGGGCGCCGGGGACGCCCTTGTGCCCAGGGCCGCCGCCGCGGCCGCCCGGCCATCGCGGGTGCCCGCGCAGGTACTCGCGGTAGTTCCTGGTGAGCAGCGTGTAGAGGAAGGGGTTTAGGCAGCTGTTGCCGTAGGTGAGGCAGGTGGTCAGGTAGTTGACGATGCGCGCGGCCCGGGGCGTGAGCGGCAGGGCCTCGCGGTACTGGGCCAGCAGCTGCCACAGCCAGAAGGGCAGGAAGCAGGCCCAGAAGAGCAGCACGACGCCCAGGATGAGGCGGAGCACCCGCGGGTCGGGCAGCCGCCGCGTCTGGGCGAGGGAGGCCTGCTGCGACCGCCAGTAGGCGCGGGCCAGACGGGCGTACAGCAGCCCGATGGCCAGGCCGGGGCCCACGATGCTGGTGCCGAACAGCAGCGTCAGGTAGGCGCGGTGGGCGCGGCGGCCCCAGGCGGGCAGGCACAGGCTCTTGGGGCCCCTGCGCACCAGCCGCACGGCCAGCGTCACGGGCAGCGTCAGCAGCAGCGCCAGCAGCCAGGTGCCCAGCGCCAGGAGCTTGCGGCAGCCCTGGGAGCGCCGCGCCGCGTCCAGCGGCCTCCGCACCGCGGCACAGCGCTCGCTGCTCATGACGGTCAGCGTGAAGATGCTGGCGTGCATGGTCAGGAAGTCCAGGCTGAAGAGGACGCGGCAGCCCACGTCCCCAAAGTGCCAGTCCTTGGTGACGTACGTGGCCACCACGAAGGGGATGCTGAGCAGGTAGAGCAGGTCGGCCAGCGCCAGGTTGACCACGTAGACGTACAGGGAGGCCGAGGCCCGCAGCGAGCGGCACATGAGCACCAGTGTGTAGGCGTTGCCCACCACGCCCACCACGCCCATGGCCGACAGCACCGCCCCGATGGCTCCCGTGGCCACCAGGTCCTCCAGGGCGCTGGGCTCTGAGGGGCTGGCCCACGAGCCGTTGAGGGACGCGTTGGGGGCGCTGGGCGGCTCAGGCACAGAGCTGTCTGTGGCAGGCAGCACGGGGACCCCACTTGCAGACGCGGGGCTCAGCGCCATCTGGGCCCCTCCTTCACGCTGGGCTCAGGCTGGGCTGGGCTGCTCCTGGGGGTGGGGGCATCTGCGGGCACCCGGCTCACCCTGTGGAGAAGATGCCCGTCAGAGACGCACGTCAGGGAGCCCGGCCACCCCCACCAGGCCACTGCTGTGACGGGCACAGCTGCCACAGGCTGCCGAGGGGTGGGGGCTCCCGACTTCTCGTCCTTGGGGACCCTGGAGAAGATGCCAGCATCCAGGAGGGCCCAAGAGCCACTCGGACCAGCTGACCCCCAGCACACACCCCAGGACCCTCACTGCAAGCCTCAGTGCAAGTATAGAGGCCTCTGGGGTTGGCTGGGCTTTTCTGAAACCCGAGCATAGGAAGGCAGCCCCTGGGTGGAGGCTGGCAGGGCTCAGAGCCCGGGGTACTGGGCTCGGCCGGCCCACCATGCACCTGCCAGGCCCATTTTCTTGTCTGGGAACCGGCAGGCGGTCTGACCCCAGAGTCCTTTCTCTCACTGTATTTCACTTGTGCTTTTACAAAGTATGTTTTCTTTTTTCTTTTTATTTTCTGAGACAGAGTCTCACTCCGCTGCTTGGGCTAGAGTGCTGTGGCGTCAGCCTAGCTCACAGCAACTTCCAACTCCTGGGCTCAAGTGATCCTCCTGCCTCGGCCTCCTGAGTAGCTGGGACTACAGGCATGTGCCACCATGCCCGGCTACTTTTTTCTATATATTTTTAGTTGTCCAGCTAATTTCTTTCTATTTTTAGTAGAGATGGGGTCTCACTCTTGCTCCGGCTGGTTTCGAACTCTTGACCTTGAGCGAATCTGCCCACCTAGGCCTCCCAGAGTGCTAGGATTACAGGCGTGAGCCACGATGTCCGGCCTACAAAGTATGTTTTCTTCAGATGGCAAAAGTAATAGCTGCTGACTTTCTTTTGTTTTTTGAGACAGAGATTCGCTCCATCTCCCTGGCTAGAGTGCAGTGGCGTGATCACAGCTCACTGCAGCCTCACATTCCCGGGCTCAAGCGATCCTCCCGCCTTGGCCTCCCAAGTAGCTGGGACTACAGGCGCGAGCCACTGCGCCCAGCTAATTTTTTCTATTTTTAGTAGAGATGGGGTCTTGCTCTTGTTCAGGCTGGTCCTGAACTCCTGACCTCAAGCAATCCTCCTGCCATGGCCTCCCAGAGTGCTGGAATCCACAGGAGTGAGCCACCGCGCCCGGCCAAGAGCTGGTGACTTTAAAAGTCCAAATCGAAAAATACATGAGGCAAATCGGGGAAGGCCTCTGTAATCTCCACTTATCATGCGGGGAAAATGAGCCTTGGTCCCTCCCTCACCCCACACACAACGAAAATTCAAGAGAGATGCCAAGGCCGGGCGCGGTGGCTCACGGCCTGTAATCCTAGCTCTCTGGGAAGCCGAGGCGGGCGGATTGCTCAAGGGTCAGGAGTTCAAAACCAGCCTGAGCAAGATCGAGACCCATCTCTACTATAAATAGAAATAATTAATTGGCCAACTGATATGTATATAAAAAATTAGCCGGGCATGGTGGCGCATGCCTGTAGTCCCAGCTACTCGGGAGGCTGAGGCAGAAGGATCGCTCGAGCCCAGGAGTGTGAGGTTGCTGTGAGCTAGGCTGACGCCACGGCACTCACTCTAGCCTGGACAACAAAGCGAGACTCTGTCTAAAAAAAAAAAACAAACAAACAAAAAAAAAAGAGAGATGCCAAACCCACATGTGGATTACACTGACCGACAGATCAAGCTTCTGGAAGAGAACAGGAGAATATCGGCAGGACTTTGGGTAGGAAAAGATTTCTGTAAAATGAACAAGAAATATTTGCAATAAAAGACTCGTCTAGTGGACCTCATCAAAATTAAGAGCTTTACTAAGAAAATAAAGTCATAGCCAATGGGCTAAGAGAAGATCATCAGAAAACACATCAGACAAAGAAAACTCATAATCGAAATACGTGAAAGAACCACAAATCAGTACAGAAAAGACAACCCACCTGAAGGGGGGAAAAGACAAAGAACTTAAACAGGAACTTCTCAGAAAGGACCTACCGATGGCCAACAGGCAGAGAGGGGTAAATGCGAACCACAGGGAGACACCAGCTGGTGCCCACTCAGGCGGGAGTGGGAAAGGGAGCAGGCTGGGAGGGCACAGAGGACTCCCCACAGCTCCCCTTCACCCTTGTGGGGGTGCAGCCGGACGCAGCCACTTTGGAAGATAATCAGCACTATTTGCTTCGCACCCAAGATAAACAACTGCAAATGTCCCCAAAAAGACAAGAGTGAGAATGTTCACAACAGCTTTTTGCTCAGGAGGAGCCGGAAACAACCCAGATGTCCATCAACACGGAGTGGATAAGCAACCGACATCCCCGTAAAGCGCTGCACAGCCAGGAAGAGGGTGGCATTACCCCTGCAGAGAGCAGCCGGGGTGGAACTCGCACAGGCTGTGCTGAGCCCAAGACTTCCCGCAAAAGAACACTGCATGGTTCCGCTGGCGTGAAGCTGAGTTACAGGCAAAAGCGTTTATGCCGTGCAGGTCACAGTAGCAGCTGGGCCGGGGCGGGGTGTCACCTGGTATGGGCCAAGGCAGGTGGAAATGTGCCTTGATCTGGGTGGTGGTCACGCAGGGCAGACGCATGCAAAAACTCTCGTAGCTCCACACTTCAGAGCCACGCTTGCTGTGTGTAGGTTACCCTCGTAAGAAAAAAGGGCCTAAAACGTGGAATCATCTAAACCAACAGGACAAGTCCCTGGTATGGCCCGTCCTCCCCCAGATCCGGTCACGAGAAGGGCTCTAGGCTCCGTCCTTCCACACATCGATGTTGACATTAACAAGGATAAATTGGGGACCATCCCACTCCGCATGATCTCTGGGAACCTCCTGCAGGGGGGACCCGGGCAGACCCAGGCGTGTGAGACTCAGGCCAGGCCCTGGCCCCGACCAGCCCAGCCTCTGGCCTGGCTCGGGGAGCTGGGGTGCCCTTTCCCACAGGCAGGGCCACCACCCCCAACCCCCGCTCCATCTGCCCATGGCCCCACACCCCGCCCCGTGCTCAGGCATGTTCTGGAGCCCTCTGGGGGCAGCCTGCCCCCCCCCACGCCCCTCCTCTGCCCTCCCTGCGGGGAGCACCCACCCTCAGGTCTGGCCACAACCGAGGAGCGAGGAGCGACTGCTAAGGACGCGCTCCCGCGTCGGGGCACGGGGTTAGGGGGGGCTGCGGGAGGCAGGGAAAGTTTCACCACGGAAGGCGGGGCCGCCACGCTGGCCCCGAGGGCAGAGCCAAGCGGGGTCCCGCTGTGAAGCCAAGCGCAGCCGTGGGCGCGCCTGGGGCGCACAGGCATGTCGCCTCCTCGCCAGGTCTGGAGACCTGGCGCCGGGACAGGCGCCCTTGCAGCCTCCCAGAGCGCACCGGCTGTGGCTGCGTTGGGTCGCCCAGCCCAGGGGCGCGCAGAGGGCTCCGGGGTACCCAGCACCACGCACTGGCACCCGCACGCAGCGCTCGCCCCTAACCACCCGCCACGGACCCACCTGCCCCTCCGCCACGGAGCCGTCAGGTAGGAGCGGTCACCTCGCCGCTGGCGTCCTCTCGCTCCTGGGGCCAGGCGGCGGCCGCCACGCACCGGTCTCCAAACTCCGCGCGAAGTGGGGCCCGGGGCCGCCGGGAACTTTCCCAAGGGCTCCCCGTGCCCGGTGTCGCGGAGTGGGTGTGAGGGGCTCCACGGATGCCTCGGCTGCCCAGGCCCACGGCGAAGGGTGCCGCCCGCCCGCCGCGCGCTCTGTCCGCGCGCACAGTCCCCGCGCCGCTGCCACCTGCCTGGCCCGGCCGCCAGCTGGGAATGCGCCCTAGCCCCGCGCCAGCGCCAGGATATTAATAACCCCGGGCAGCGCCGCCCCCGTGGCGGGAGGGGAGGACGGCCCTGGGGGGACCGAGGGGAGACACCGGAGCTTGGGGTGGGGGGACGCCGGGGGCGGAGCGAGGGAGGGCGCTGGGGAGGGGGCGGTGCCAGGGCCTTGGCGCCTAGAAGAAGCGGGGAGCGCTGGAGGTCGTGGGACCCGAGTGGGATAAGGCTCAGCGCTCGCCCTCCAAGGGTCCTGGACACCCCTAAACCCCGGACAGGTTCTTAGAAAGGAGGACGGGGGACGAGCCAGAGTCGCCCACTGAGGTGGGTCTGGAGGAAGAGCCAAGTCAGACCACACCATACGGTCAGGGGGTTCATCCCCAGACTGTGGCTGCCTGCGACCTCCCCAGGCCTGGCCTGGCCCAGCTGATCCCCGTCCCTCAGGGTCTTCAAAGCTCTTCACGCTGGCAGGATCACGGTGGCCAAAGCCACAGAGATGGCACTGGGGGGCAGCAGGGCCCCCAGCCTCACCCTGGACTCTCGCAGGTAGGTGCGGTGCCCACTGTCCATCACCCTCAGCTGGACACGGGGGTCCCCACCTGTGTCTGGGCCAGGTAAGCGCCCAGGGGGACTCTGGGGGGTGACGCTGCAGCCCCTCCTGTGGAAGGGTGCGTGGTCAGGTCCCGCGTGCCGGGCTTCCTAGTGCCTCTCTGTGACCCCACGGTTTCCCCCGGGGCCTGCCACCCTCTCTGCACTCGTCCTGAGGCTGTTCTCACCGTCCAGGGTCCCTCTCACGGGTGCTGGGCCACACAGCCCCCTCCAGGGACTCTGCTCTCTTCTCATGGTCCCTGGAGCCCCGTGGGCACCACCATCCCTGTGTGGTCAGGGTCCAGGTGGCATGTCCCAAAGAGGAGGTTTGAGGAGCACGTACTGCAGGGATTGTGCTGGGGGCGGGGAGGCAGGACAGGGCAGAGGGTACTGGTCAGGCTGGAGGGCTGAGCGGACAGAATGTTCTCTGAAGCGCCTCAAGTGCCCCACAGGGAGAAAGAGCACTGGCTCCCCCTCTCCCCACCCCTTGGCTGTCCTGGTGGAGAAGCCCTGGAGGGTTCAATGTGGTTGAACACCGAGGCTGAGGGAAGGGCAGTGGTTGCCACTGCCCAAGTGGAGGGGACAAGGGGTGGGTGAGTTTCTGGGCACCCAAAGTGGGCTGCGGCTGCAGGAGGTGCTGCTGGGCCGGGTGCGGCCTTGGAAGGAGCCCCCCCGCCACCGTCCAGCCTGGCCCCATGGAGTCGAAGCTGGGCCTGGAGGTGCCCGGCTCTCCTCTCACCCAGCTGGAAGCCGAGGGGCAGTGAGCCATCCATAGCCACCCTCCTGGACTCAGAATGGCTGCAGCATGCCTCTCACAGGAGACACAGAGTATCCACCAAGCCCCAGGCTCCTTCCCCTGACCCAGAGAGGTCATGAGAGTCTGAGTCTGTCCTGAGAGAAGCCCACGTGTTCTGGGGACCCTCACTCCGTCTCCCCGTCTGTGGTCCCAGCAGCAGTTGCAGGGGCAACATGGACCACTTCGGGGCCAGTGACCGCTTTGCAGCTGGAGCATGTCTGATGCAGTGGGACTGTCATGTTGTGACACCGCCCTGCCCTGTCCTCCCAAGGCTCCTGTCCCCTTACAGGAATCCTGGCGACAGTGGCTGCGCCGTTGGCCTCCAGGGAGGCCACACCCTGGCAAGTAGTCTTCAGGACCTTCGTCACGGCAGATCACCCCGACAGGAGGAGCAATGCACCTTTCCTTTCTGACAGAGCTCGAAGTCCTTCCTCGCCCACAGACGTGAAGTGGGAGTGATGGCCTGTCCCCCCCGATGGGTGAGAAGGGAGGTGGAGCAGGGCTCTAGGGTCCCTGCTCAGGTCTCTAGCTGGCGGTGGGTTCCAACACTGCAGCCTGCCTGGTCCCGTGAGGCTACTCAAAGGAGGCCCCTGCTCAGGACCCACAAAACCCGTGTCCTGAGTGAGGAGGATAGACGCAGAGCCCTGGAGAACCCTTCTGGGGATTGCAAGGGTGGAAGTTGATGCTGGAGAGAGGGCAGAACCCCAGGAGCTCCAGACTTCTCCTGCAAGCAGTATAGCCAAAGCTCATGTGCTCACATCCCTAACCCTGTGTCCAGGTAATAGTGTGGGGGCTCTCTCCCCTCAGCATGCCTGTCCTTACCTCTCCCTTCTGTCTCCCCATGAGACAAGGAGATCAGGGACCCCAGCCCCTTCCTGAAGGACCATTACCTGCCCCCCCATGTCTAACGTCAAGTGAGGTGCTCCAACCCTAAGACCAAGGGAGGGGCCCAGGCAGCAGCCAAAACCGAAAGGGGCAGAGCCCTTGTTCCTCAGGTCTTTTCCTAGGGGCTCTCTTCACCGCCCCCACCTGTCTCGTGAATATGAGCATCCTTTCCACGTGGTCTGACCTGTGGGTTTCTTTTTTAATTCTGGGGCAAATATTTACATTAAAGTCTCTATTTGATGACGCACTCATTATTGTTTAAAATGTGGGTCTTTTTAATCATGTATATTCATACTTGTTTTTGTAGTGATTGATAAACACCTGTGAAACAAATTCCCACAGTGAGCCAGAAAACTGACTAGAACTGCCATCTGTCCCCTGCTTCCACCATCGGATGGGATTTAAGGCAGCAAAGGTGGCCCACGCCAGACACTGAGAGGACACAGGATAAGGACAATCAGCAAGGACTTGCTGGGCAATGATTCTGCACATGGGCTTGATGCAAACCTTTTATGACTTTATTTAATTAAAAACAACATACAAAACAACAGGAATTAGACAGTTAAATTGCATTAATAGCCAACATTTGATACCAGGGACCCCAGTACTGCTGACAGGGTCTTTTTGCACCCTGAGTCTCCACACAAAGTCAAGAATGTGTCCAACCACAACAGAGATTCTGATGTGTTCTATGTGTATGTGTCGCATAAGCAGTGTCCAGGCCAGGGTAGGGTAGGTGCACGGCTCTGCACCCTGGCCCAACGTCACACATAGGACAGCAACCATTCGGGCCAGCCTCTCTGAGTCAGCATCATGTTCCAAACTGTGACAATAAACTGATAAGGACTTATCCCAGATTATGAATACTTGTGACAGTCCCCTCTGAGGCTGTGTTGGCCTCATCTCCCAGCCCTGAAGTCTGATCATCGCTGTTCGGCCAGTGAAGGTTGCCCATTGCTTTGCTAGTTGCTCCCCTAGCTGTTGAGGAAGGGCAATTGCTTACCCTTCCCGGTATCTAATGTCCTGGGGCAGCCAGGACAATGGTGGCCAGTTGGACCTCAGTCCTTCAGTTCTGGGGTCCTGGATTGAGGGGCTAGAAACAGGACAGCTACCCCCGGGCTGAGACTCCCAAGACAGCAGGGCTATCCCCAAGTCCCCTGCTGTGGGTGTCAGTGGTGCTGGGTTCCTGTCCTTAGGTGGAGGACTGAGGCTCAGCTGTTGAGTCTCCCTCTTCTGTCTCCCTTTTGTTCCAGGGTGAATATGAGACAATGGTGAATCCCCTCATGAGCAGGGCTGTGTCTGCGGGAACCAGCTCTGCACTGTGTCCAGAGGTTTCCAGAATGCTCAGCTTCCACCGGTGCAGGTCCGGCTCCTGGGGTGCATCTTGGAGTCTTACCACCCACACCTCCTCAGGCTCCAGCAACACTTTCCAGTGCTGCTCTGGGGACCTCAGGGCCCAGCGTGGAGTCATCTTCCGGAGGTAGATGGCATCATAGCAGCCCACTATGGAGACAACCTGCAGGCCCAGTAACCAGGCCTCAGTCTCGGCAGGGTTCACCGCCCGGCTGGTGCTCAGCTCCAACACCATGGGCTCCCCTGGGGGCAGGTCCACTCTGAGAAACCCCTGCCATGAAGGAGAGGAGCTGGGCCAGTGTGAGCAGGCAGGAAGCTCCCCAAGTCTCCAGGGAAGGGCCTGGGTCCAGTCAGCGTCCTCGGGGCCCAGGCCCAGGGGCACTGCGTCGTGAGGCTGCAAGTCAGTGGGCACAAAGTGATGGTCCAGGCTGACCTCTTCTGTCCCCTGTGGGCCTGATGCCAGGGTGCCCTGCCCTAAGGCCTGAGAGACCCCCGGCACAGGCTGCCCTGGGCCCTGCTCCCAACTTGGCCCCGTCCCTGAGGCCCCCTCCTGCTCAGCCCCTGCCTCAGTGTGCTCCATCAGCTCAGGGTCCCAGTCCTCATCTTCCCAGTCTTCCGCCTCCAGCGAGTCTTTAAGGTCCAAAAAGGCAGCCTTGAAGCAAGCAAAGCACAGCCTGAGCGGGTCTCCGTGTCGCAGCTGATACAGCCAGGAGGCGTGGAGGTAGGACATGCCCTCCCCCCCATATCGCACGCTGACTGGGGGGCACATGGCCAGGCCGTCGCCTCCTCCTAGCGGGGTGGACGGCAAGAGCAGGGCTTGCTGGGGGTGCAGGAAGTCTGGCCACAGGGCTGGGGCCAGCGAGATGCTGGGGGCAGGGCTGACAGGGATGGGGAGCAGGAGGGAAAAGCGGAGGAGAAAGAGAAGGAAGCAGAGAACGAGGCTTTTTGTCCAGGCACTTGGGGTGGGGTGGATGTACTGGGTCCAGCTCAGTGGGGACCTGCAGAGGTGGGGAAGTCTGAACTTCTGGAAGTTTCTTCAGTTTCTGCAATGGCTCTAGGCTCTGGGAGCTGCAAAGGCAAAGGGAGGGGGGTTAGGGTCCCCAGCAGTAGGGGGGAGTGGGTCGTGCTGGCTCAGCAGGGTGGGGGGTGTGGGGTTCAGACGCCCCGTGAGGATCCTGCGCAGCTTGAACTGCGCTGGGGCTGGGGTCCCTCAGCCCCCCACCATCTCCCACCAGCCTGCCCCGGGCTCGTCAGCCCAACCCCTACCTCCCCACCAGCCTGGTCTGACAGTCCCTGAGGGAGCCTGACAGAAACTGCTAGAAACCAACAGACCCCAAGGCAGCCCTACAGAACCTGCTGGAATCCGGCAGAACCTGAAGGAGCCCAACAGAACCGGCTGGAACCTGACAGAACCTGACAGACCCTAAGGGAGCCTGACAGAAGCTGACAGAACCTGACAGACCCTGAGGGAGTCCGACAGCACCTGCTGAAACCTGACAGACCCAAAGGAACCCAACAGAACCTGACAGAACCTGCTGGAACCCAACAGAAATGACAGACCCTAAGGGAGCCCACAGAACCTGACAGAACCCAACAGACCCTGAGGGAGTCCAACAGCACCTGCTGAAACCTGACAGACCCAAAGGAACCCAACAGAACCTGACAGATCCTGAGGGAGCCCAAGAACCTGACAGAACCTGCTGGAACCGGACAGAACCCAACAGACCCCGAGGGAACCCAACACAACCTGAGGGAAACTCTTCCCAGCCCCACCCCCACAGCTGGCCCGAGGCACCAGGGGGTCCACTGTGGCGCTCAGGCCTCCCAACCCTTCGCCCAGCGCCAGGCCGGGCCCCAGACGCCTCCCTGGGAGCCCCTCACCCACACTGGCGCCTCAGCTCCCGCGGGCACCAGGGAAAGGGGGAGCCGCAGCCGCCTGGGCATATATAAGGCTGTTTCCCATGGTGCCCTGGGCTCATCTGCATATCTCCCATGAGCCTCAGTTTCCAGGAAGAGAAAGTGCTGAGTCACCGACTGCCCCAAGTGGGGCCACGTGCAGCGCAGGGGGCAGGAGCCCTCCGGGAAGTCTGCTCCCTGGGGGCTGGGGGGACTCGCGCTCCGCCTGGGGTCTGTGCAGGGAGCGTCCACCCCAGGGAGCCGTCCCTTCGCAGAACCCGGGGCTGGGTGCTGTCCTGGTGTGAAAACCGGGGGTTCCTTCTCTGCTGTCGCTTTGTTGAAGTTCTTTATGGGTTTCTGAAACTGATCACTTGTCAATGACACCTTAAATGCATTTCTCCCGCTTACTCCCTGCCCCAAACCGGCTTAGCCTTCCCAAGTATCAACATCGGGCACCAGACTGGTTCTTTGTTACAATGTGTGAGCCCAGGTTGACACATCAATAGCTCCCCATCCTGCAGTTTGTATTCAGGCTCTCTCTGGCCTTGTATGTTCTGTGGGTTTGGACAGCTGTGTAACGAAGTGGATCCACCATTCCAGTACCACACAGAGTCCTTTCCTGCCCTAAACGTACTCTGTGTCCACCTCCTCCTACCCCCTTCCCCTCAATCCCAGGCAACCCCTGACCTTGGACTGGGCTGCAGTCGTTCCCATTTTCCAGAATGTCACATGGCTGGACTCACAGCTATGCAGCCTTTTCAGCTGCTTCTACTTAGTACCGTGTTTCCCCGAAAATAAGACCTACCTACCCATAAAATAAGCCCTAGCAGGATTTCTAAGCACTTGCACAATGTAAGCCCTACCCCGAAAATAAGACCTAGTGATGGGCGTGGCTACACAGCGAATCTGCACAACCCATGCATTTTCTCGAGGAGTGGTAAAGAAGACGAGCAGCCCTTCTCATCTGACCCATGGGAGCTCTGTGGCTCGACATGAGAGATTGGGGCCAATGGTTCTAAAGAAGATAGAGTCACAAGAAATTCAGGATGGAATTCGGGGTTTGGAGAGTTATGATGATGTTCCAGAAGAAGATGACTTAACTATATTTGAATAAGTGTAGATTGTTGTACTGTACTTAAAAAAAAAATAACATATCCCTTGACAACAAGCCCTAGGGTGCCTTCTTGAGGAAAAATAAATATAAGACCCCGTGTTATTTTCAGGGAAACATGGTATGCATTGAAGTCTCCTCTATGTCTTTTCATGGCTTGATAGTTCATCTCGTTTTAGGGAGAAACGATATTGCTTTGACTGAATGTAACAGTTTATTTATCCACTCACCTACTGAAGGACATCTTGGTTGCTCCCAGGTCTGGGCAATTGTGAATGAAGCTGCTATACACATCTGCATGCAAGTTTTTGTGGACATAAGTCTTCAGCTCCTTTGAGTAAATACCAAGGAGCACAACTGCTGGACTGTGCATGTTTAGTTTTGTAAGAAATCGCCAAACTATCTTCCATAGGGGCGGCACCATTTTGCATAATCATCGGTGATGAATGAGAGCTCCTGTTACTCCACATCGCCAACAGCATTTGGTATTGTTAGTGTTCTGGACTTTGGCCATACTAAGAGATGTATAGTGGTATCTCGTCATTTTAATTTGCATTTCCTTAATAATATATGATGTCATCTTATTTCGTTAGGGCTGCTATGACAAAAATACCGTAAACTGGCTGGGCGCGGTGGCTCACGCTTGTAATCCTAGCACTCTGGGAGGCCGAGGCGGGCGGATTGCTCAAGGTCAGGAGTTCGAAACCAGCCTGAGCGAGACCCCGTCTCTACTATAAAAAATAGAAAGAAATTAATTGGCCAAAATATATAATAATACAAAATACGGCATCGGTGGCCTCCGTGCCTGTAGTCCCGCACCTCCGGAGGCTGAGGCCCCAGAGGAGTGTTAAGCCCAGGCACGTTTGAGTTGCTGTGAGCAGCTGACGCCACGGCACTACACTCTAACCTCAAGAAAGGAGACCTCTGTCTAAAAAAAAAAAAAAAAAATACCGTAAGGATTGCTATAAAACAGAATTATTTCTCACAGTTCTAGAGTCTGGGAAGTCCAAGATCAAGGTGCTGGCAGATCGGTCTCTCTTGGGCGCATGCTTCCCTAGACAGCTGTCTTTTCGCTGTGTTCTCAGATGGCTGAAGGGGTCTCTCTCACGCCTCTTTTTTTTTTTTTTTTTTGAGGTCAGAGTCTCACTCTGTTGCCCAGGGCTAGAGTGAGGTGCCATGGGTCACATCTAGCTCACAGCAACCTCACACTCCCTGAGCTTCAAGCTGATCTCCTGCCTCAGCCTCCCCAGTACTAGGACGTAAGGACTGCGCCACCATGCCCCGCTAATTTTTATGTATATACTTTAGGTTGGCCAAGGTTAATCTTTCTATTTATAGTAGAGAGGGGTCTCGAGCTTGCTCAGGCTGGATTTTGAACTGCGTGACGCTTGAGGCG